TCAGAGATTACAAAGCTCACCTCAACAAATATTAACTGTAGGTGAGACAGAATTCCATACTTAATAATCTACTCAATAGTACATCTATGCTTAGTCTAATGCAATTCTTGGGAATGGATTTACAGTAAATGTATTATATTTAGCGTGTACAAGATTTTGAAGAAATAGACTTTTGAACAGTGTAGATTTCAATCAGAACATTTACTAATATTCTCTATTATGTGTACATGTACAAGACATTTAGCATTGTAGTTGAATTAGCCGAAGTTTCTCACCTCCAAAAGAAGTTAAAAGCATAATTAGGCTAAAAATGAACTTCTCGCAAATAAATGATTTAATTTATTTACTTACAAGGGACCTTGTAAACGTTACGAGCTATTTATTTACTAACAAAGATCTTGTAAACATAATAACGAGCTATTTGTTTATTTACGAGAAATCTTGTAAATGTAACGAGCTATTTATTTACTAACGAAGATCTTGTAAACATAATAACGAGCTAGTTATTTACTTATGTCGGGATCTTGTAAATGTAACGAGCTATTTATTTACTTATACCGGGATCTTGTAAATGTAACGAGATATTTATTTACTTATGCGGGGATCTTATGAACGTAACGAGCTATTTATTTACTTACGCGGGATCTTGTAAACAATGCGAGCTTTTTATTTACTTATGCGGGGATCTTGTAAACAATGCGAGCTATTTATTTACTTAATATGCGGGATCTTGTAAACAATATGAGCTATTTATTGACTTACGCGGGATCTTGTAAACAATACGAGCTATTCATTGACTTATGCGGGATCTTGTAAACAATACGAGCTATTTATTTACTTATGCGGGGATCTTGTACTGTAACGAGCTATTTATTGACTAACGTGGGATCTTGTACAGTAACGAGCTATTTATTGACTTACACGGGATCTTGTAAACAATACGAGCTATTTATTGACTTACGCGGGATCTTGTACTGTAACGAGCTATTTATTGACTTACGTGGGATCTTGTACAGTAACGAGCTATTTATTGACTTACACGGGATCTTGTAAACAATACGAGCTATTTATTGACTGACGCGGGATCTTGTACTGTAACGAGCTATTTATTGACTTACGCGGGATCTTGTACTGTAACGAGCTATTTATTGACTTACGCGGGATCTTGGGTGGAGCTCCCCGGTCTCCGTACCCCATGTCAGACGGGATCACCAGCTTCCTCTTCTCTCCTTCACACATCCTGAAAATTTATCAATTTTATTAAAATTTTCTTGAAATTCTTATCACAAGTGAACTTGTATGCTTACATTGCATTTAAGCAATATAAAATTTAAAAATGAATTTATTGTTACTTAGTTACATGTATGAATTGGATGAAATGCCTCCTGATGTCTCTGAGATTGGGACTTTTTACTGTGGATCACACTGAGTTCTATCACCTACCCCAGAAGTCCCTGGTCCCAGCCTTTGATCACCTGTCCTGACCCAAGGGTGAACTTGAATGGTTCATTTCTGTCTAAGCTGCTGTCAAATTTTGTGCCATCTTCCAGTGTTCCCTATAAAAAAGTTATATAAAATGTGATTATATGCTTTGATTAGTACATACAAAGCCATTCAGAAGCAGAATACTGACTCCAGCAATGAAACTCTCCAAAGGCTTCATTTTTCAGATTTGGAAGGGATTGAACACATGCATTTATTTTAAACTTTCACTTTTTAAGAACCTTAAAATTTTGGTCTATGCATGGATGCTTTGGCTTATTAAAATAACTTAATCTACATGTGCATTGCAGTTATGATTAATTATAGGCTAGCGAGTGTAGCTCAATAGACTAATATTTCATCAAAAAAGGTAATTCCAAATGAAATCTTTTGTGTTTGTGCTACTCTAGCATGAGCACATGTGTTACGACCATTCTCTAACCAGAGTTGTCTTTCGCTACGCTCACAACACCTCTGTCAACGCTCGTTGTACAAGATTTTTGAACAAATTTTAAACGGTGAAAATTTGAAGTTAAAATAGTAATTAATTATTGTAATTATTTATAAAAATGAAAATTCATCATTTATTTCAAACTTATATTCCCTCAAAACGACTTATTTTCAAAGTTTGAAGGGAACTATTTTGCATAGGAAATTAAAATCTTAATTTAAAAATCCTTTTAAGGTGTAACAAATTAAAATAAATATTGTTTTCCGATAAGAAATATAATTATAAACGACTATTAATACATTATTTAATCATTTACAATTTTTCCAAGAATCTTGTAAAACAAGCGTTGACAGAGGTGTATGTGGGAGCGTAGCGGGAACGACAACTCTGGATAGAGATTGGTGTTATGACAAGAGCACAGCCATTGTGAACTACTTTATTATTGAAGATATTCATGCGTGATATAATAGTAACAAATTAACCAAACATAGACAGATATAATAATTGCGGATCCAACAAAATCTGTACATACTTCAAGCAAATTATTGTGTGAAACCTTCCCAGAATTCCTTTGCAGGCAATAATGGCAAATAAATAAATAACATGAAACATAAAAGGGTTTGGGATTATAGAAATCTTATTGAAAAAACACAAGAAAATACTGTATGCAATGTCTTTCCTCAAAAATTACACAAGGTCTTAAGTAAGCTCTGACGAGCTCCGTAACCTACAGTACCGACCAGACCCAACCTGACACAAAGCAGTCCCAGAGCAGTCCCGGGGACTGCTTTCTGGGACTGCTAAAGCAGTCCCACAGCGGTCCCAGAGCAGTCCCACAGCAGTCCCAGAGCGGTCCCAGCAGTCCCAGCGGTCCCAGAGAGCAGTCCCAGCAGTCCCAGAAAGCAGTCCCAGCAGTCCCAGTGGGTAGGGTTTATTAATTTAATGGGCGGAGCTAACTCAGAAATGAGATTTCCAATAAACAATAGAACTATAAAAGGCAGTAGAAATTGATTCTGGGTAGTATGCCAGGAATCCTTACATGTACGCGAAGGTCATTTATGAACAGAACATGTACGCGCATGAAAAATGAAATAATTATTAATCATATTTATTGGAGGAAGAAGGCTTTCACACTTACATGTACATATATGAATTACACTGAACATGAATATTTAATCACAATTCTTGGGTATATTAATAATTCTTTTGTGATTGATACTGGTTCCCATATTTATTTTTTATACAGAAAATTAAACGTGAATTAAATATTTTCCACCAGAAGAAGCTTTAGATCTAAATAGATCTTATCATTATATGGCCAATTTAGACTATCGGGATACTATAAAGTTAGAGTTTTCTTAAGCATTTGGGCTTGTAAACATATTCTTTGTTAATTTTGCCAAGTATTATTTTTCAGTCATTATTTTTACTGACATGTCAATTTAATTATCGTTAATGCCTAGTTCTATAAAACTCAGTTTTAAGTGTTTTATTTGTAAATGTTAGAGTGTACATCTGTAAATCACCAGAATGGAAGCTTCAGATTATGTTCAAAATTAATTAAACCCGATAGAAATTTAAACACATTTCATTTATCACTTTTTTTCACATTTAAGAAATTGAAATTAGGGTCATTGTTTACCAGCATGTTCAATGATGTGTAACACTGATACAAATACCCAAATAACATGTATCGATTTTTCTGCCCAAAGGCGATTGAAACAGTGGGTGTTGATACCATCTTATAAACATTAATCGGCCAGGTAAACACTAGTAAAACAAAAAAGAAATAAATCAATTCCCGGTATTTTCATTTTTTTAAAAATAAATATACATGTACTCTTTTAAAAACTTGTTTATTAATTAAAAGCTACCAGTAATTCATTAATTCCCCCAATGATTATTCACATAGTTTATGTTATGGGAGAATTGTAGCATAATTTTATTTCATGGTCATTTAATAAATTGTCGGGTTTTATTTGAGGGTTACACAGAATACTCTTTTTTTTAGCGTAGTCCTTATAAAATGTGTAGCATTTTTAATAAAAGACATCTTATATCTAACTGTAATGATTATTTTTAATTAGTACCAATGCAAATTTTGAGTATATATTAAAATTTAACATTAAATAATTAAAAAAGGCCCACATGTAGCTATTTTTTCTCATAAACTTGTAGTTTATTTTTAGGGATAAAAACTTTCTCATGAATTCCTTATTTATCAACTTTATTTTTTTTTTAATTTATTCTAAATACACATTAATTTGTGCAAATATACAGTCCTTGAAAATATCAATTAACTATAATAATCTCTACTTATTAAAAGAATGTAAGAAATCCTTGTTTATTAAACAGTTTAAACTCCTCTCTGCTGCAAGTAAACAAAACAACAAGGAGCCTGCAAATTCAGAATACACAAGGGGGCGGAGCTATCATGTCACTCAGAACCTTTTTCACACATGAGTGAACAAAGCAGTCCCAGAAAGCAGTCCCAGGGGCAGCTGGGACTGCTGGGACTGCTTTTCATAGCAGTCCCAGAGCAGTCCCATAGCGGTCCCAGGGCAGTCCCACAGCAGTCCCAGAGCGGTCCCAAAGCAGTCCCGGGGACTGCTTTCTGGGACTGCTTTGGTGTCAGGTTGGGTCTGGTCGGTACTGTAGCTCATATGTCGTCAAAGCTAGTTTTGATGTCTTGTGTGACTTAACGTTTGAAATGGGTGGTCAATGTATCAAGTGTGTTTTTGACTGTACAATTGCTTTCGCCCCACTGACCACATCGTAAAACATAATAAAATTTGACTTGTTGACTGTCCGATTTTATTGTCCATGATCTTACTGTGTAATGCATTTTGAGAACATCCCCCTTCCTTGATTTTATGGTACATTTTTCTGGATCCACCCTCTTCTTCACGCCGATCTGGAGCTTCCTCTTCTTCTCTTCTTTGTCCTCACAGGACACCATAGCGGCTAGAATGGCGACTACCACGCCTAACTGTACAGTCCTAGAAATCTTCATTGTTCTGAGTAAGTCTGCAATGGTGAACATTAACAAAAATTATTATGATTGAATTATCCGAGTCAGATATGAAAAGTGCATTTTAATTATCGTTTAAAATTAACATTCAAGAATACTGTGCATATTACATCCTTCAGTCTTCAAAAGAAAAAAAATAGAGGAAATTCGAACAGCACAGATTTTAAAAAGTCGGGCTTAATTTTAAAATTTGTCTATCTTTGTTGGCCTATTACAAGTATAAATAAACGAATAGATATAAAATTTCTATATGTGTGACACAATACAGTAAAAAAATAAAGAAAATTTAATCAGCCACTCACATGTTGACAGCAGAGCGAAAATGAAAGCGGAAGTGATTACCTGCGCAAGTGCAAAAGAAGTAAACGTACATTTTGCGTTTCCGTTTGTATACAAAAGGAGAAGCCGCCAAAGACGTTTTTGAACAATCTTAAGCCATCCTGCTAGAAAATGACGTATGTAGCAATATTTTTCACCATCAAAATAGTTTTTCAATGACTGTCAAGGATTGTAATGGTTTATTTGTTAGATTTTTCGGTCATTTTTGTTGTAAACATGGTAAACGGAATGCAGAAACCCGGGTTTCTTCATTCAGTGCACTCAGTGATCACAGCATCTTGTGCAGAAAAAAAACAATACTCTCGTCATTTACCTCTTAATGTCATCCATAGCACTGCTACTCAAAGTTTTTGTTTGTTTATTATTAAGATCCCTAAATGCATTGCCTAGCATGTCTGGAAAATAACAACCACGGATCTTGGCTAAGATTTTCAGACTGCATAATTATTTCCATAATCAGATTCTACCTGACTTTTAAAACACTCTAGTCTACTTCATCATTAAAGCATTTTATTTTAGGGCCCTAATGCAGAAGCCGAAAAGTGAGATGACGCCAGAGGAGCTGGCACAGCGAGAACAGGAAGAGTTTAACACTGGTCCTCTGTCTGTCCTCACACAGTCTGTAAAAAACAACACACAGGTCCTCATAAACTGCAGGAACAACAAGAAGCTCCTCGCCAGAGTCAAGGCTTTTGACAGGTACAAAGGGATTAAATACAAATTTAACAGGGTTGTCAAAATTTGTTTATGAAGTGCTGGTCTTGGACCTTAAAGCTGAACACAACTAAATAGGCAAACACGATATTCGATTATCAGTATATAATCCTTGATATCGGCGCTGGAATATACCATTCGCATTTGATATACTAGCTGCAGAACTGTAGTGTTATTGTATTATATAATTGTCTTTAACCATAATGTTACAGATCGTTTAATGCAAAGAATGTGCAATTTACGGCGCAAGACTTTTTGTACACTGTTTTGGAAGAATTTCTACAATTTCCAATATTCATGGTAAATTATATTCTACCTTTCCATAATTCTAGACACATTTTCAGATAAATCTGTATATTTTAAAAACCTCTCATTCCTTTATAGTCGTCTCTGCAAGCGATAAACTTGCTTGAATTAGAATTTTCTGCAATCCCTTAGACAATTCAATTCAAGCCAATTTTTCGCCTGTAGAGGTGACTATAAAGGATTGAGAGGAGGATAAAATATACACATTGGTTAAAGAATGTGTCTGGAGTTAGGGATGAAAGGTAGATGATTTATTAAAGTTGAAAAGTAGGGAAATTCTCCCAAACTCTGCAAAAAATCTAGCACCGTATATAGAACATTCTTTGCATTACGGGATCTCTGATATTAGAGTCAAAGACTAACATATGACACCATAACTCTACAGTTCTGCAGCTGTAGATGCACCTGACTCACAGGCACTTGCTTCTGTAATAAAATTTTGACCCATAGTATAATAATAAACCAAGGTATCTAATTTCGATTTACACTGAGTACCCCCCTCCCTTTGAATCGCGCTCATTTACACTTTAAGGGGAAATGCACGTGTAAACTGTTTATACCCATGTCTTCTAGGATAATTTATCTACACAACAATATATGGCTTGCTTGCCCTTGTTTTCTCTTATCTCGGTGAACAGCGTCAAAACTCGACTCGCAGAGTAGAATATTAAAACTAAACCATAGAACGGTATGTGCTAATCTCGGGCAAAGAGAAAAATTAAAGAATGCGTGGGTGTGAAAATTCAATACCAGATTTTAAATATTGCATCGAATAAATAAAATTTCATAGTGTCTTATTTTCCATAACACTACAATGTTTTTCCAGTGTAATTTTAGAAACAGATTTTTAGCCAATCAAATTCGAGGTCTAATTGTTTGCCCGAGACTGTAATATACGATTCTATGGTTGAGTTTCACTTTTCGCTTGGCGAGCAGAGTTTTGATGCTGATTACGGCGATAAAAGAAAATAAAGACAAGCATGCCCGCTATGGTTGTGTAGATAAATTGTCATAGAAGACATAGGTATAAACAGTTTACTCGTGCATTTCCCCTGAAAGTGTAAATGAGCGCGATTCAACGGGAGGGGGGTACTCAGTGTAAATCAGAGTTAGATACCTTGTGTTATTATTATACTGTGGGTCAAAAATTTTATTACAGCAGTCTTCGACAAATCCCGGGAGTCCGATGCCCGGGACCTGGTAAAATTGGAAGCGGGCATGTGGAAATTGTACACTTACAAGCCCGAAGGGCATGTTAATTCTAGGCATAAGCCTTGGTATAATTAAATTAAATAAGACCAATAACATAAAATGTACTTTAAAGTCTGATTACCAACTTAGTGAAGTAAAAAAAAATAAAATTTTACCGACATCTTATTTTACCGTAATTTCCAAGGAACTATTTTGCAAAAGAGACACAAATGTGTACAGGTTGAAAACAAATGGCGAGACAAGAAATTGACAGAATGGATTTTCAGATTATTTCCTTGGCATGAAAAGGCAAATAATAAAAAAGCTTGATAAAATTCTGGGCATGTAAATATTTGTTAGGGCTTGCGTAATTGGTGATCACACCTGCCCGAAGGGCATGTGCTGAAAAAAAGATTTGGCGAAGACTGTTGCAGAAACAAGTGCCTGTGACCTGACTGCTTAATTGTCAGGGGTATCTGCATGGAATGGCAACGTGGTCATGCTGGTTATCTTGCATTGCCGTTATTTATTTCGATGCAGTCATGTGTAATTGTGTTTGTTCATATATTTCACCTGACCTGTGTAATCTCTTGAGACTAACCCCTACTTTTTATAATGTTTGTGATATGTGCAGAGTCAGAGGGAAGGCCATATTGAAAAGTGAGAATTCAGAGACATCAGCTGCTGTTGCGACTTCGTCTACCTTTTACAACTTTATTTCGCAGATTTAACTCCTGAAACCAGTAAAATGATAACTCCTCTACAACTTAATTGTCATCAAAAGGATGCTATCGCCATTTAAATGGCCCTATCACCAACAAATTAAGCATCGCTTGAATTCGGTCACCTCCTTTTAAGCATGACATCAGCTCAAATACACAAAATTCTATCAGTTTCAAAGTAAGACAGGCTCAAAACACGTGTGTACCTTTCAACAAAACATGAAAGAATTGTGAAAAAGTATATAAAACAACATAATTCAGGGCTCTCGATTCTCTAAACCTGGGGCCGATATTCGGCCCCGTTCCCAATGCAAAAAAGGTACCATTTTTCCCAAAAGAAAGGTGTGAGTTTCCCAATTTCCATAACAAAATATTTTTTAAACTTTAAGATTAAAAAATAAAAGTCCATGAAACTTAATCGCAAAAAACCCTAAACAAAACACACTTGCAAATGAAAGTGAAACTGTACGACTATTTTATTAGTTCGTGTCTAATGTATTCGTAAACTGGTTCGGGGAACTAGGTTACTATTTGTACAAAATGAGTGCCGAGTATCTTGTCATGTAGTTTCGACAAAAAACATCATTTTGGTTTCAAATATAGAAATTTCATATAAACATTAGTAAGCTGCACCTAGAAACAATCCCATTGCTTCAGCATGTTCAGTCTCGCGGTGAAATATGGTAAGCAAAGTTAAAAGTCCATGTGATCAAGGAAATTCGGGACTATGTGACTAGCAACTGTCACTCAGAAAGACAGATAACCGCAATATCAAGACTCAAAGATAGTTATGACAAAGCTAATGTACGTTCATAAATAGCCTATATATAGCCATGTTTGTTCTGTTTAACTGTTTATTCAAAACCAGAGTTAAATTGATGACAAATTTTATGCAAGAGAAGCAAAATTTGAGGATTTTTTAAAATGAATATTTGTTATCAAACTGTTCCCAAAATGATGGTAATTTTCCCAATTTGAACGGCCCCGGCCCCAGTCCCAAAAAGTGGTGTGAGAGCCCTGTTAATTATGGTTCATTTATTTACTGCTAAGGAAAGGAACTATAAAAAAAAACAACTTATATGAGGGGGAAAAAATATCAGCTAAACCGCTCGATATTCAAGTGATAGTTTGTGTATTTGTGTGCTGACGTTATGCCCAAAGAAGTTGAGCGACTCTAGTTGCGAGGAGATAACCTTTTAATATGACTTGTACAATGTGTAAAAATTTCTCGGGTATCTATTCTAATCCAGCATGCTAGAGGTTCATGGCGAGATACTTTTGAACTTGCCCTGCGTAAACTCTAGCATTCATTGTTAAAATTCTCGCCCCTGAAAGCCAAAGTGGAAATGAATTGTTTAATCAAAATTCCAGGCTTTGAACTTAAAAAATGACAAAATGCTGGAAAAATTTCACTGGGGTATAATGCAAAGTTAACCTTTCTTATTACATGTATTAATAAAATTAATATTTTCGAAATTGAATCAGAAAACAAAACAACTCATCTGTTTAACCTTCGGGAATGGAATGCAGAAAATCTGTCGAAACAAAACTAGTTGTCTGTTATGAAATTTAATCAAGTTAAATCACAGATTTATCTAGCAGACGCCACATCATTTGTTTAATTGACTGATTTATTTGGAGTATTCTCAGTGTTTTCCTTCAGAACCTTCAATCAGCTACTTGCCAAATTGACTGCTTACGTTGACAAAAAATGCCAATTTGAAATAAAAATTTTAAAATTGAATTGCTGTTTAAAGGTCTATTGAAAATTTGTACTTAAACTTCAGCCCCTAGCCTGTTACAACTGATCTCTAACCCTTAACTTTGAAATAAAAGGAAAACACTGTATTCTGTTACTAATTCGCTGACTTGTCTTTTCCAGGCATTGTAACATGGTTTTAGAAAACGTCAAAGAAATGTGGACAGAAGTACCTAAGACAGGAAAAGGAAAGAAAAAGTCCAAACCAGTGAACAAAGACAGATACATCTCCAAAATGTTCCTCCGAGGGGACTCTGTGATTCTCATTCTTAGAAATCCAATGGCAACTGCCAAGTAGGGTGGGGAGAAACTGTTAAGTAGGGGGGAGGGTAGGGGGAGAAAGTGTTAAGTAGGGGTAGGAGAAAGTGTGTTAAGTAGGGGGGAGGGTAGGGGGAGAAAGTGTGTAAAGTAGGCAGGGATTGTACAAAGCAGATTTGTACCTGTGTTAAAAAGGGTCAGTGGATGCACCCAATGTAAGCGAGGTTGAGATGAATTTACAGCTGACATTGTGTAGACAATGCCGGCTGAAGGTCTAACCCTTGCTCTGATATCTAACGAGGGGATGGGAAATAGTAATTATTGTATTTTATTATTTTCTGATCTCTTGCAATTTTTGATGATCAGTTAATGTTTTGTATACATGTTGCGATGGTTTTATATAATTTTGTCATTTATTGTCTTGTACATGTGTATAACACGAGAGAAGTTCATCTTTCATTTATTGTCATTAAATCATGAAACACTTTTATCTCAGTGTAAGTTCTTGAGTTATGTAACATAGTCAGTATCTAGAGGGGTTTGAAGTGCTATCAATATGTATAGTACAGACTTATTCTTTTTCCATGATTAGCATCTTTTGACAGTTCCATGACAAAATCTAGTATGATCTGGCATTGTATTAAGGAAATTTTTGTATATTTAAACTGCATTCACATCAAAGTGTGCACACTTCTAGAAGAAGGTAATCCCACTGTGGGACAAGGAGGCCGGTCCTTCGGATGAAACCGTATAAACCGAGATCCCTTGGCCCATGAGTTGCTGGCAAGTAAAAATCACTCAATGCTCAATGGCCCTGAGTGCCGAACTGGGATAAAATTTGTAGGGCTCTCCACCAGCAAGTGATGGCTTTCCATATGATGGAAAATTCTCGAAAGGGACGTTAAACAACATACAATCAACCAGTCCTTGTTTCGACCATAAAACTTGAAAAATGATGACTTCAAACGAGGCTGTTTCATAAGACTTGTTCAAACGTAGAGCATTTTCTTGCGTTTTGCAACAACAGCGAGGCATAAACTAAATGCTACATGTATAAAAGAAGTTAACGATTGAAAAGTTGATCTTACCACGTCTTTCGTTAAGTTTTGTGTGTACTTTCATTCTTAGTTAAAAGTTTAAAGGTACTTGGACACAGATTTGAAGTTAATTTTTTCTGTATAATATCACGAATTATATATTTTAATAGCATTTCACACAAAAATTAATTAAAAATCTTATTTTCATTTAAAAGTTATTAAAACTTTTAATTTTTTGGCGGGTTTGATTGACACATCCTTTCACTACCAAAAATTTTAACTTTATTCTTAATCCTTAGGAAAAGTGGCAATCTTGTGTATTAATGGGAACAATTAAATTTATATCCATAAAAATAATTTTATTCAGAGTAGAAATGTTAGAAAGCAAAACTCCTTCACAAGTATCGTCATTCCGTTGTGTACGGAGTTTAGCAAATCGAGCACACTCATGCTATGTACACAGTTTTTGTAAACAGGGCGAAAACTCGATTATTGTTTGGTGTTTTGGTTCACCGTGCGTTTAATCGCCAAAGTCTGTTCACATCAACTGCACAACTGACAACTGACAATATATTGTGTGTTTGTTTTACTTTCGAACAAGTCCACTCTGAATTTTCTGGATTAAAGTATTAATAGTTTTCATTAATACACAACAAGACTGCCACTTTTCCAAAGGATTAAGAATAAAGTTAAAATTTGTGAAAGTGCAAAGATGTGTCAATCAAACACGCCCAAAAAATAAACGTTTTAATAACTTTTAAATGAAATAAGATTTTAAATTAATTTTCGTGTGAAATGCTATTAAAATATATAAGTCGTAATATTATAGAGAAAAAATTAACTTCAAATCTGTGTCCAAGTCCCTTTAAAGAGTATTTTCATTCCCTGATTAATTTTATGTCCAAATCTTACATGAAAAATGGGGATAACGAGCAGTTCCCAAGCTCTAAAACCATAATGATTTAAAATAAAAATACGAATCAGATACGCAGAGCAAACACGGACCATGGATTTGAAAAATGATGATTTCAAACGAGACTGTTTCATAACTTGACATGGAGGATTGAACATCCTCTGGAATTTTCTATTCCAAGCTGAAGTCATTTACCTCTACCAAGCCTCTCTTATTTTTTCGATCTCCCTTGTGCATCTGTCACTGCCTTGATTCTCCTTTGTTCATCAGAGTGATTTTCATCCAATGAAACATATTGAGATAACGAACAGAATTCAAGATCAAAAGTCCATAAAACAATACATATAAATATATATTAAATAGGAACAGAGAGAACACGGACCTCCAAAACATCAGAGGTAGGATCAGGTGCCATGGAGGAGTGAGCATCCTCTGCCGACCGGTCATACCCGCCGTGTGCTCCTTGTCATGATCAGGAAATAACGGGAAAATCCTTCGTCAATTCAGTGTATAAATAATGCACTAACAATTAGTATTAAAACGTCAGTCAGCATTTGACTCGATGATAAATTGTTTATTGCTGACAAGATCATTGTATCGACCATAGAACTTACGAAATGATGACTTTAAACGAGTATGCTGATAATCTTGTTTCATCATCGTGTTTGTCAATAATCTACTTCGTTATTAAAAATTGTTCATACATAGAGCATGCTCTTGCTTATCGAATCAACTTCATAAACTTATGCAGGTAATGAAGGTATATATATTGCTGCATGAGTAAGGGAAGTTGATGATAGAAAAGTTTAAGTCATCACCTTTATCATAGAGCTTGGTTGTTTGATTCAAATAAAATATCCAAATATGAAACCGATGTGTCAGAGTCTGAGGTATCTTTTATTTCAAGCTCACTAGGATATATCGTATCGGCATAAGAATGGAAATTACAATTGTTAATTGACAATACGCCGTCGATACTCAGTATGTCTAAATGTCAATTGCAAGTTGAAGGCAACAGCAAGTGTTATCTTCTTTTCACGCATAAGATTTTGGGCAAATTCTGCTTCACATGAATACAAAAATAGGTCTGCTAATAACGGGGCGCAATTGGTACCAATGGGAATTCCAATAGATTGTTGGAAGACCTGGGCTCCATAAACAACACCGGTAGATATTGTCTACCAGACACTCAATCATCTTTTTGATGTCGACTTTAGAGTACACAAATGTACTTGTGTGTACAATGACTACAATCAGAATGTTTTTTTTTTAACAAAATAAATTTACAAATGACTAATGACAAGGTACTTGTAGTTGATTCCGTCAATGATAAAAAAAGCCTTGACTAGCTTTAATATATCGTGGGGAATGGTTGTGTACATAAAGTTGAAAAGTCGTAAGTTTTTAAGCTGTTGATTTTGGTAATATCTTATGATTTCAAATTGCCAAAATTTCATTTGAATTTTTAAATCATTATTTCGACCATAAAACTTAGATTCTCCAGGCTTTTTGATATCATTGACTGCAGCTTTTTCAATAGAAATGGAACTCGTAAATTCAATTACCTTGTCGTTGGTCATTGCAAAATTATTTGTTAAAACATTCTATTTGTACACACAAGTACTCTGAAGTTGATATTAAGATATGATTGAGATTCTGATTGACAATATCTATGTGGTTTTTGGAGACCACGTATTCAACAATCTATTGGAATACCCATGGGTACAAATTGCGCTCCGTTATTAGCAGACTTATTTTTATATTCATATGAAGCAGAATTTATGCAAAATCTTATGCGTGAAAAGAGAAAACACTTGCTGTGACCTTCAACTCGACATTTAGATATATCGACGACGTATTGTTAATTATAATGGTAATTTCCATTCCTTCGTCAATACGATATATCCTAGTGAGCTTGAGATAAAAGATACCACAGAGTTCGACACCTCTGCTTCATACTTGGATATTTTACTTGAAAAAGACACTAATGGTAATCTAACAACCAAGCTATGTGATAAACGGGATGACTTTAACTTTTCTATCTTCAACTTTCCTTACTTATGCAGCAATATACCTTCATCACCTGCATACGTAGTATATATATCTCAGTTGATTCGATACGCAAGAGCATGCTCTACGTATGAACAATTTCTAAAACGAGGTAAGTTATTGACAAGCAAGTTGATGATACAAGAATATCAGCAGTCTCGTTTAAATTCATCATTTCGTAAGTTCTATGGTCGAAACAATGACCTTGTCAGCAAGTACAATTTATCATTGAGTCAAATGCTGACTGACGTTTTTCATACTATTTGTTAGACCATTATTTATACACTGCATTGAAATGACGACAGATTTTAAATCATAAGATTTACCCAAATCAACAGCTTAAAAAAATACGACTTTTCAACTTTATACACAACAATTCCCCACGACAAATTAAAATCCAGGCTTTTTGATATCATTGACAGCTGCTTCTCCAATAAAAATGGAACTCGAAAATTTACTCACCTCGTCACGTAATTTGCAAAATTATTTTGTTAAAACAGATTCTGATTGCACACATAAGTACTCTGAAGTTGACATCAAGAAGATGCTTGAGTTTCTGATTGACAATACTGAGTCTACCGATATCTATGTGGTTTTCGGAGACTAGGTCTTCCAACAATTTACTGGAATTCCCATGGGTACCCTTATTAGGAGACTTATTCATATGAAGCAGGATTCATACAAATACTGCAATATACTTTTTGCTCAAATTATAACATATGATAGGTAATACCAAAATTCCTCCGTTTTGTTCCCAGAGGGGGCATCTCTAAATGTCAAAGTTTATTACATTTCCCTGTTTTTATGGAGTACTACAAAACAGGACAGAAACGAAGGATTTGAAAAGAAAATAACAAACATGTTTAAGGGATTCTCAAATTTCTATTTTTTTTTATTTCAAGACATTTAATATTTAACACTATTTCTTTTTTTTTTTAACTTTTTATGATCCCTTTATAACGAAGTGCCAGGCACTAGTGATTTTGATTCGTTTTAGATATTATTCATTATATCCGTTTGAATCCATAGGTATTTACTATCATCTATATTCTGTGCTTTTCATTATACCTAGTGATACACTGGGAATTCTCACTCTTCACCATGCAGTGGTCATCTTCAATTCCCAAATAATTTTGTCCTCGAAACACAGTTCAGGACGCACAGACGGACGGACGAACATTCCGATCATAGATTGTAATCAATGGCGGATTTACAGCCCCCTTTTTGTGTCCAAAACATATATAATTTAATAAATCAATTTCTGGAGGTGTGGCTGTGGGCCCCTTGCATGACCCTGGTCAAGCAGGTCGGGATCCCCCATCTTTCAAGATTCTGGATCCGTCATTAAGAGAGCAACTTTCAAAAATCTTCTCAAAAAATATTTGTATGTCCTCTCCTGACTAACTGGACAAAAACGGCTCGAGATTTGTTTTATATTCCAGGTCACAATGTTTCTTTCATTCCTCTTATCTCACAGCAACTATATTGAGA